CCCCAAAACCCCAAAACCCCAAAACCCCTATTCTGATTAAATATTTAAAATCTATTATTTGTTAAGAGACAAATGGAGCAAGTAGGTGATATTATTAATTGGGCAAATGACTTGCCTGATTTCGAAGACGAAACATCATTGTTTGAAACAACTATTGTTGGTAAGCACTTTTGTGGTACTACCTCTTTTGGCTACAAATCTAGGATTTACCTTAACTCTGGTAATATAGCTGATGATTACAATAAATTGGATAATGACAAGAAAATGATAGTTACAGACTTAAGGATCATCATTAGTAAGGATAAAGATAGTTATGAAGAAGAAGACTCATTCCTAATATCCAAACTTGAATGGGTTGCTTATTCATCAAAGAAAGGCAAGAGTCTTCTCCTCTGTGCGAGAGAGAAAGGAACCTTCTACCTTTCAGTCAAGAGGAGAGAAGAGACCATAGCTTTGCTATAAGAATTCTTTACTTCCGACTGAGCAAGGTGAACCCATTAGATGTCTACAGAATCCCTAAGAAGGATCTCTCTCAATACGAAATTGATGAAGAAGACGTCAACAACAATGAATATGATCCTCCCAAGGAGAAATATCTCTACATAAACTCGGATAGTGACAACTCTAGTGATGAGGACGAAGAAGAGGCAAAAGACAAAATGGAAGATACAGGCGTTGGTCTTGGAAACAAACTGTACCAACAACTCGGAGAAAAGTACATGGAGAAAGAACAGAAAGATCTCAGGAACCAAAATAGTTCTTTATTGTTTAGTAGAGCTAATAGAAGAGATATTCGTGAAAAATATGCTATTAAAAGATTCAGAATCCCAGAACACGGAAGCGGGTCCATCCCTAAGCTGAGAGGAGAAAGATATAGAGAAGAAGTAAAGCCTGAGATAGAATCTGAATCTGATGAAGAACCTGAGCAAGTTATTGACTCTAATGATTGCTCTGATAGCTCTTCTGGATCAAGTGAGAATTCTGACTCTGAAGAGCCAACTCTAAAGGATTTTGCTTTAATTAAAATGATTAATAAAGGAGGATTTGGAAAAGTTTTCCTCGCAAAGAACACAATTGATGGGAAGTATTATGCAATGAAAAGGATCAGGAAGGATCTCTTAATAGAGACAAAGCAAGTGGACAATACCTTAAATGAAAAAGAGATCCTGCTCAGTAATAACAATCCTTTCTTGCTTTCTATGAACTACGTATTTCAGAGTGAGTTCAGACTGTATTTCTTCATGCAGTATGTCAATGGAGGAAATCTCTATGAAAACATGTTCAAAGTGAAAAGATTCAAAGAGAAGCAAGTAAAGTTTTTCATTTCACAGGTCATCATTGCTTTGGGATATTTGCATAAAAACAAAGTAGTACACAGAGACATTAAGCCTGAAAATGTCATTCTAAAAGAAAATGGATATATTGTCCTGGCAGATTTCGGATTAGCTAAGATTCTAGATTCAAAAAGTAAAATAGCCAGGACTTGCTGAGGAACAGCGGAGTATATTGCCCCAGAAGTATTTCAAGGAGCCAGACAAGGGTACACAGTTGATTGGTGGACTGTTGGTATTCTTGCTTACGAGCTTTTATGTGGAAAGACCCCATTCAAAGATTCTAACATGAAGAAGCAAAAGAAATAAAATTCTTTCTGGTAAGTCTCCATTTCTGATAATCAGGAAAAATACCATGGCCAGATGCAACAAAGCATGGAATCTACATGTCCCAAGACATGATGGATTTCATCAAAGCATGACTCGAAAAAGATCCAAGAAAGAGACTTGGAGCAAAGGGAGTAACTTCATTCTTAATGCATAGACTTATCAATTAATCAAGCATTATTGGTTCGATGATATAGACTTCAATGAGGTTCTCAATCAGGAAATGAAGGCTCCATATCTTCCAGATGTTGATAATATCGATGAAGAAGAGGAAGAAAATAGATGTATGCCTGCATTCTAACTTATAGTAAACCACCACCAACTATTGCTACAAAAGAAGAGATCAAAGAACAACAAACAAGATTTACTAGAAACCATGCTTGACGAATCAAGAAAAAGGATGATTCGAAACTTCCAAGACAAATTCGATGATTTCTAATATAAGGAGTTGAGAGAGGAGTTTTTGGGTTTGTGACTGGAGAGTTTAGGGATCAGGATGCGTAGAGGTATGGGTAAGGGATTGGAGGGTGGTTTGTAGGGTTTTAGTGGAGATAGGTGGTGCTCAAGATTTAGATTTTGAACTAAAATGTGCATGGATAACATAGGAACAAATTTAAATAAAACATTATTTGTTAGCATTCTATTGAAAATACCCCATATGGGGTTTTGGGGTTTTGGGGTTTTGGGG